AGAAGGAGCAGGATGAGCAGCATCAGGAGCAGGAGAAGCCGGAGAAATACGAGGAGGAGGAGGGAGGAGGACGAGGACGAGGAGGAGGGATGAGGAGCAGGAGGAAGAGGCGGAGGAGGAGGGGGAGGAGCAGGGGGGCAGGAGGATGAAGAGGAAGCGCAGCAGGAGCAGGAGCAAAGAGCAGGAGGAGGAGGAGAAAGAGGAGAAGCAGCAGCAGCAGCAGCAGCCGCAGCAGCAGAAGTAGCAGGACTCCTCCTCCGCATCATCATCCTCCTCTCCTCCTCATCCTCCTCCTCTTCCTCCAACCCTGTTTCCCTCTCCCTTGCCTCCTCCTCCGCCTCCTCCTCCTGCTCCTGCCCCTCCTACTCCCTCCTCCTGCTCCTCCTCCCTCGCTCCCCCCCTCCCTCGCTCCATCCCTCCCTCCCTCCCTCCCTCCTGTCCCTCCCGCCCTCCTCCATCCTCCCAATTCCCTCCCTCCTCGCCGTCCCCGTCTATCTACTTCCCTCCTCCTCCTCCTCCTCCTCCTCCTCCTCCTCCTCGTCCTCCTCCTCCTCCTCCTCCTCCTCCTCCTCCTCCCTCCGCGATCCTACCTCCTCCCTCCTCCTCCTCCTCCTCCTCCTCCTCCTCCTCCTCCTCCTCCTCCTCCCTCCGCGATCCTACCTCCTCCCTCCGCGATCCTACCTCCTCCCGCTTCCCTCGTCCCTCCCCCTCCTCGTTCCTCTCACTTCCGCCCCCCCTACCCCGCCTGGTAGGAGGAGGAGGAGGAAGAGGAGGAGGAGATGGAGGAGGAGGAAGAGGAGAAGGAGGAGGAGGAGGAGGAGAAAGAGGAGGTGGAGGAGGAGAAGCAGGAGCAGGAGGAGGATCGCTATGAAGCACCCGAATCTCTATTAAGCACCCGAATGCGTTGAGACTGGGCTTCAAGCAGTCGACCCCCCATTCGCGTGTCGTCGTTGTCGTCGTCGTCGTCCTCGTCGTCCTCGTCGTCCTCGTCGTCCTCGTCATCCTCGTTGTCGTCGTTGTCGTCGTCCTCGTCCTCCTCGTCGTCGTCTGCCCCAGCCGTTGCCCCTTGGCATCCCGCTGCCTCCTCTCCGTCATCATCCCATCGACGACCTCCCGATCCCGCCGTCACCCAGTGTCACCAGCAGGGGCGCAGAAGCAGCGCTCCGCGGCCTGGGCTGTTCTGACCAGACCAGCAGGGGGCTGTTCTGATCTCCTCCGTGGCGCGACGGTGACGTGACCGCGCCTCGCGCTGCGCGCAGCGCGAAGCGCGAAGCGCGAGGTCGGGACCCTCGCTGCGGGTGCACCTCGACTTTCGGTGCGGTGCTTCGCTCCGCGTGGCCCCCATCGTGGCGCGCGGCGGCCTCCGTGGCCCCCTCGCGGATTTTCGGCGCGGCGCTTCGTGGCCGTGGCCTCTCGGTGCCGGGTTTCGGCGTCCCGCAGCAAGTCCCGCTGGGTCTCCAGAGGCATCCGGAGGTGACCGGGCGTCCCCAGCAGCCTCCCCGAGGCCGTCGGAGGCCCAGCCGTCGCCAGGGCGTCCAGAGTGGCCCCTCTGCCGCGACGCCAGGCCTCGGCCACCTGCGCCCCTCTGCCCGCCCCCCGGGGTCCATGTCGATCTGACGAGATGAGACACCGGTTCCGGCTGGCTCGATCGGATTAGGCGATCCAATGCGGCCAGGGATTTGAGCGGCGTAGGTTTGCATCCGGGCGCAGCCGATTCGACTCGATCTCGGCCCCGCGCTGGCCGATGCAGCCCGGTCCGAGGCACGGTCCGAGCCGCTCCGATGTCCCGACCCGGCTTCCGACCCGAGTTCCCGAGTACATGCTGGCCGATGCTGGCCGATGCTGCCCCGGGCCCATCTTTCTCCTCTCCTCCCTCGGCCGCTGCGGCACGAGCGCAGGGTGACGCAGCGCCGCCTGCGGCGGAGTGCCCGCGGCGGCGGCGGCGATCTCCAGGGACGCCTCCGCGCGCCCGCCCGGGGTCCGCGGGGGGGGGGGTCTGAGCAGCGCCACGGTCCACCGTCGCGTCTGCGGGGCGGCAAGGCTCTGGGCCTGCGCACAGGCCCCCAGGGAAGTCTGGGGCGGTCTCAGTGCCTGGCGCCGGCGGCGCCCCCTGGACGCCTGGCGCCCTGGGCGCAGGCTTTTGGAGCAGCAAAGAGGCCACCGTAAACGCACAGAACGGCCCGGGTGAGCAAAAGCTGCCCAGGAGGGCCTCAAGAGCGCTCGTCGCAAGACGGCCTGAGGGTTCCAAGAGCCTCACAAGGGGCATCAACAGAGTCCCAGTTAAGAGAGCACCTAGAAGCCCCAGAAGCGCATCAAGAAGTTCCGACGAGTGACCACGAGGACCAGAAGTCCCGAAGGATTTCAAAACATCCCTGCAGCAGCTGCAGCGGCGGCGGCGACAGCAGCAGACGCGGCGACAATGGCGGCACCATCACCATCACCACTGGCAGCAGCACCAGCAGCAGTAGCAGAAGCAATGGGAGCAACGGCGGCGGCAGCACCACCAGCATCATCAGAGGAGCAGAGGACGAGGGCCTCAGAGGCCCCTTGTGGGTGCAGAGGGTTCAGGAGGTCCTTGGATAAGATTTACACATATATATATACACACACGCATTTTTTATATATATATATATATATCCCAAACAGTGCTTGCACTGGGGATTTGTCTGCGAAGGAACTGGGCCTGCGGGCCGCTCTTGCCGCCATGTAGCTGCCGTCACCGCCTCGTCGCCGCCCGTCGCCGCCCGTCGCCTGGGCCTGCCGGCCGCTCTGGCCGCCATGTCGCAAGCGTCGCCGCCTCGTCGCAGTCCGCCTTCTCGCCGACCGCTTTGCATTGCTTTGCATCATTTTGCATTGCTCTGCATTGCATGGCATTACTTGGCATTGAGTGACATTGTTTTGCATTGGTCTGCGCTGCTTTGCATGACTTTGCATTTCTTCGCGTTACTGTATTTTTTATTGGTTTGCGTCATTGCATGGCAATTGCACTATTTTGGAGTCGCATTGCATTACGCTGTTGTAAGCTGATTGTGTTGCTCTGCACTGCTACGCAGTGCTCTGCATCGCGCGACATTGATTTACACAGCTTTGCACCGCTTTGCTTTACCTCGCATTGATTTTACTTCCTCAAACATTTCTTGCACTTAGGGTGTCGCACCTGCCGTGAAAAGAGCTGGGCCTGCGGGCCGCTCTGGCCGCCATGTGGCCACCGTCGCCGCCTTGTCGCCGCCCATCGCCGCCCGTCACCCGAGCCTGCGGGCCGCTCTGGCCGCCGTGTGGCTGCCGTCGCCACCTCGCCGCCGCTCGTCGCTGCCCGTCGCCTGGGCATGCGGGCCGCTATGGCCGCCATGTGGCCGCCGTCGCCGCCTCGGCGCCGCCCTTCGCCTCGTCGCCGCCCGCTTTGCATTGCTTCGCAGTGTTCTGCATTGCACTGCTTTGCTTCACGCTGTATGGCTCTGCGTCTTCTTGAATTGTATCCCATGGATTCGCACGTGGTCGTGACAGTGTGTTCTAGATGTATTACACGATCTATTGCATCACATAGCTTGCACCACCTACATTACACCACATCGATTGCACTACGTAGCTCTCACCGCATAGATTTGACTACGTAGTTTACGCCACATGCGTTGCACCACACAGATTGCACATGGCACCGCATAGCTTACACCTCGGATATTGCACCACATAGATTGCATCACATATAGTATGCTAGAACGCACTGTTTGGGGTCAGCGCTGCCTAACACGCATATTTACGTTTTCAGATATAGCCCCCAAGCAGTGTTTGCACTTAGGGGTTCGTAATTTCTGTTCTACGGAACTGGGCCTGCCCGTTGGCATGGCGGCTATGTGGTCGCCGTTGCCGCCCCATCCGCCCAAGCGTTTGTTTTTTTTGGATCCCCTCAGGGTACTCAGGTTCCCAAGGTTTGACCGGCGCCACCAACGGAGCAACGGTATCGGCGAAGCAACGGCCACTTGCATCATTCTCACAAGTTTCACGTCAGCTACCATCACGCCAGACATACTACATATAAGTATGTGGGGTTCCTCGGTAGCGTAATTCTGTCCTGGGCCCACTTGTACGACTTCGAGGGTCCCCCTGAAAAGACTTTTGCCTTCTAAGGAGAACGCCCCCATCGCCCCGCCCCCTTCTGCGCACCGCCAGCTTCTCCCGTGAAGAGGCGGCGCTTCGTGCTCTCGCCCGTACCACTGTGACGAGGCGAGGCAGGTGGTTTGCGATTTTCCCGCGTGGGGGCATCCGCCAGGCGCGAGGCCGTGGATTTTTTTGATGGTACCCAGAGACACAAAGAAATAAACACAAATCCCAGGATGCCCAAGATTGTTCCATATGTTCTGGAGTTTCGCCCCCCCCCCCCCCCACTTCCCATAGATTCCCATATGTACCGGGGAAAAGACGAGGATTTGTGTCTGCGTGTGTCTTCCCCTCGTGTCATTCGCGCAGCGACAGTGCAATCCAATCTCCCCCGTCGTGAGGAAAGGCGGAGGGGCACGAACTCGCAAGGTGCAGGGTCCATGGCGGGCCCACAGATAGTCTGGAATCGATACAGGGTAAGAAACTGGCCAGCGTGGACCCCCAGAAGGGCCTGGGGATCAGTTGGAGCAGACCGGTCGGGGCGAGGAGGGGACAGGATCAACAGTTGCGTCTGCTGTCGGGACCGCGGCAGGAGGGTTCAGGCTCGGCCTGGACGCGTCGGCATGGCCAAAAACGGCACAATCGCACGATCATATTATCTAGTTGGGCTCCAGCGTAGCGCGTGCGTGTGGGGCGTAATATACACACAGGGTCATGGTTGCCATTGGTGTAACAATGTTTTCGGTATTGTACTGTGGCATAGGCCCCATATGATGGTTGGGCAGGATCTGCCACGACACCCGAGGTCCATGGTGTGATCGTGCATTGGTAGCGTTCAAATTGATTATCGTGCATATCAGGTCTGACTGATGCGGTAGTCAACCCTGCGAGCATGTGGAATACGTATGAACCCCGGTTGTGCTGCAAAGGCATTGTACCCCCCCACGGCCAGGAGCCGCCGACTTCTTTGCCACAGGGCAGGTGGGTCAGCCTTGACGCGCGATCTGCAGGCGTCTCGTACTGCGGCAGTTCAGTTCTCCCGTCGTGTCCGTCTGAGTCCTCTTCGTACACTCCCCACTCGGGCCCAGATTTCCCAGTTTCCCGTGCCGCCACCACCGATTGCCGCGCGGGCAGCGCCGCCCAGCCTGCCCCGTCGAGCAGCAGAACCAGCCACGATGGGCAGCGGTTGCGGCACGGCCAAGGCTGCAAAGTTGGGAAGGGAAATTGTGTTGCACCAGCCCCTCACCAGCCCCCTTTGCTACCGCCCCGCCTCCTCATCCTCCTCACCTTGCTTAAGCTCCTCCTCCTCCTCCTGGCACCTCCGAGCGCACTCGCGTTCACATGGGCCCCGACAAGTCGCCGAAGCAGGTCAAGATGGAATACGTCCTTAGAAAGTGCCGCGCCGCCTTCGCCACCGAGTACCCGTCGCTGCGCCTCTTCACGGATCGGGACCGCGGGTTCCTTTCCATTGGCTGGGACAAGATTCTCAAGGTCGAGGTGGAGGCTGGGGATGCTCCTCCTACTTTGCGTTGGGACGTCGCCAAGCTGGAGCGCCACGACATCTCCAAGGCCCACGCCCTGCAGCTCACCTCTTTCCTCACGGCCTCTGCGGATGAGCCCGTGTGGTGTCTTTGACGCGCTGTCTCTGTTTTCGTGTTCGCGGTCCTGTTCCTCGGGTTCGACCACTGCCCTGCGAGTGGTTACTTGGAACTGCAGGGCCCTTCTTCAGGCTGCGGGGGCCAAAGCAGCCATCAAGCGTAACTACCTCTCCAAGCTCGGCCTCGACAAGTCCATCGTCTCTTTGCAAGAGGTGCACCAAGACGCCCTTCAACTGGAACACTTCGTGCATCGTGTGTGCCCGCGGTCCACCGTTCTTTCGAGCTTCTGTGGTCCTGAGCCTGCTGACCGTGCGCGCGGCGGTGTCGCAGTTTTGATCCCTCCTCTCGAGCATCTACCTGAGGATCCTGTGCGAGTGGAGTCCCATCCTCTGGTCCCAGGCCGCGTGTTGATGGTCGCCCTGCGTGCGACTCGCGCTTGCGTCTACCTCTTCAACGTCCACAATCACGAGCTGGGGGCCACCGCCGTCACAAAAGTTCGTGATGCAGTACGTGCTGCTCTCGCTGAAGCTCGAGCCGAGCCGTTGCGAGTCCTGGTGATTCTGAATGGGGACTTCAATATCTCTGAGGAGTCCGCAATGTCTCTGCTGGCGCCGGTTGCGGCTTCTCGTCGTGGTGGCCGTCGGCACCATGCAGCCGCGCCTTCCTGGAGGTCCATCTTCGACGACATGCTTGAGGTCCAGGGCAGCGAGCCTACCCACTTCGAGCGGGCAGCGGGCAAGGCCAGCATCTTGGATCGGGTCTTTCTCTCCTTTCAGGGCTGGCAGGTGTGCCAGATGAACCTTACTTCCGCCACTATGGGGTCTGCGGCGGCGCTCTCGGATGCGAAAATATCTGATCACACTGCGGTCATCGTCTCTCTTGCTTCCCGCTCTGCTCGTCGTCCTGCTGCTCGCCCTATCCCGCGCCGCCTCTGTCGCGATCCTCGCTTCGTTCGCCGTCTACGTGGATTGGTGGCCTCTACCTCATGGGACGGCATGTCGCCACCGTTCAAGCTAGAGCATTACAAACATATCATGCGTCTTGCTGCGTCAGAGGTGCGCGACTCGCTCTTTACTGACAATCCCGACAGTCTCGATACTTTGTTGCAGGTGGCGCGAATGGTCTCGCGCGTGGTCTGGAGGCAAGATGTCAAATTGGCCCTTCGGATGCTTGAATCTCATCCTCGCGTCCGAGATCACATCACCGTCCGCTCCTCGCAGGTTGTGCTCATTCATCCCCCGTCTTTCTCGGAGTGGGCTTCATCCATCCAACGGGAAGCTGCTGAGGTGCGTCGTCGTGCTCTTGAATCTCAACTCTCTCGCCAGCCCTCTGCTCGTGCCACCCGACTTCAGTTGCGTGCTTTGGAGAGGAAAGCGAGGCTCTGGTCACCATTCTCTCGCTCTTTGGCATTGTCGTCGATACGAGTATCAGACGATTGTGCGGCTTCTGACCCTGTGGAGCGCGTTGAGGCCCTGGCTTCCTACTGGAAACCCGTCTTCTCGCGGAAATCTTGGGGCGCTGAGGCGGCTCAGGCATATATCCCTTCCTGGCTCGGTCCCGTGAACACCATCGATCTTCCGCCTCCGACTTTGGCACAGCTTCGACGGGCCCTCCACGCGGCCCAGGACTCCGCCCCTGGCATCGACGGCCTACCTTACTCCGCGTGGGAAGCGCTTCCGTTTGGTCTTCATGCGTTGATGGATGCTCTCGATTGGATTGGTGATGGTCAAGCTCTCTTTGATTGCTCCTCTATCACTATCCAGGCCTTTCCCCCGAAGCTTGTCACAGACGCTGAGTTGCGTGATGGTGAGTGCACTCGTTCGCCCGACAAGGTTCGTGTCCTTGGATTACGAAACACTGACGTCAAGTTGCTGTCGTCCGTCATGAATCGTGCTCTTCAACCTCTCATCCATCATATCGTCCCGCCTTGCCAACGGGGGTTCGTTGGCGGTCGCAATTTTGGGGTCAACATCCTGGAGCTGGATGCGCATGCTCGCAAGCTTTCGGTGGGCCCTCATGGTTCGTCCGACATCCCGCTTCTTTTCTCGCTCGACTTCGGCCAGGCGTTCCCCTCTCTCAATCAGGAGTTCATGGCGTGTGTTCTTCAGGTGCTGGGGCTTCCCGAGACCTTCTTGGCCTTTGTCTCATTTCTCTACTCGGCCATCCAGGGCGTGGCCTCGGTGAATGGGGACTGTGTACCGATCTTTTGGATTCGCAGTGGGATTATACAGGGCTGCGCGCTCTCGGGCTCCCTCTCCGCCCTCGCAACCTCTGCCTTCCTCAAGGACCTAGTGCACTCCTTGGAGCCCTCTGGTCGCGGGTTGGTTCGGGCTTGCGCTGACGACATCGGCGGTACGACTCGGTCTGTGGCGGACCTTGTCCCTGTGCATCGGGTGATGGTCTTGGCTGACATGTTTGCGAACCTCTCCCTGAAGCCCTCCAAGTGCCTCCTGGTCCCCCTCTCGGGCGTCTTCTCTGAGGAGCTGGCTGCTGCTGTGGCCGAACAACTTCGAGTATGGGTCCCTGAGTGGGCCTCCTTTGGCGTTGTGGAGGAACTACACTATCTTGGGCTCTGGCTTGGTCCCTCAGTGACCGTTGAACGTCAATGGCGGGCTCCATTGGCCAAGGTACAGCATCGGGCTCAAGCTATCGGCCGTGGGACAACCCCGCCCAGTCTGTCGGCCATACTCTATTGCACACGTGCGGTTCCGACATTGTCGTATGTCGCTCAGTTCTGCCACATGCCGCTTGCCGTCCTTCGCCTGGAACTCATGACCTTGGCGCAGGTCTTCCGCGTGGCTCTGGGCACGTTCCCGCTTTCTTGCTGGTCTCTACTTCACGCTTGGGGAGGTCCTCGCATCTCCCGCTGGGCCTTTATGGGATGTGCGGCGCTTGCCCGCGCAGCTCTTCATACGTTCCCGCAGTTCAATGACATCCACGATCGGCTCCGACGTCGCGTGGCTGCTCATCCTGACTGGTGCACTCTGGAGATGGTTGGTTCTAGCAGATGCTATCCGCACTTCTGGCGCTCGGAGGCGTTCGTGGAGATTCTCCAGCGTGCGGCTGCTGGTACCCGCACTGGCTCGCCGTCACCTTGCTGGTCCCCTGATTGGCCGTCGGTTGCCGCGGTCGCGGCGCGTGCTGCGTTGGCAGACGCGGCGGCCCATCGCCCTCGCCCTCAGCGCGCTGCTCATGCTGCTCTCCGTGCTCTTGGCCCTGCCGTATCGCCGCTGGTGTCCCTGCTCCAGGCTCGCCTCGCCAAGCTGCTCCCGCGGCACGCCTTCCTGGTCGCCTCCCTCCCGCGGGACTCAATCGCGAGCACGCTGGCCTCTTGCCCCTGTTCCTGGGCCTGGGCTGCGCTTCGTACCTGGGCTGATGGTTGGATGACATCGCACCGCATCCTGCACCCCCTTGGCAAGCGCTGCTGTGCTTTCGGGTGTCCTGGCCACCCCGACGCCCTTCGACACTACGCCCGATGCCGCCCCTTCCACAACGCTCTACGTCGGGCTCTGGCGCGCCCTCTACCTCTTCCTGAACTTCATCGTTGGGGGCTGCTGGAACCAAGTCTGCCCGCCTTTCACTTCCTCGCGGTCGCCTACGCGGCCTACAACGCGGCCAAGGGCGTGGAGTGCTGGCCGCTTTCGGCTGAGTCCGCCTTCTCCTGTGCTTTGGCTGGGGCGCGCTCTGCCGCCTTGGCGCGGCCCGCTGGGATCTCGGCCCGAGATCGAGTGCTGCTTCGTCCGCGCCGTACGTGTCCCTCACCCTCGTCTTCCTCAACTTCCTCTGCGAGCTCATCTGCGAGTCGTTCGCCGAGGTTGACGCCGCCTGTCTCTGTCCCGTCAAGCCGCTCTACGTCGCCGCGTGCTCGGGAGTCTGCTGGTGGCCTCACCCCTGCCGCCCCCTCGCCGTCGACGCCCCCTACCGAAATTGCCACCGACCCCGAAGACGTGGAGTCTCGTGATCTTTGGGCGTCATGGATGGAGCTGCGCAATGAGAGTGATGAGTGTTCCCCTGTCCCTGCTTCGGGGGTGGGAGTGCCGCCTGCAGGACCTTGGGCGTCAAGCGCATGTGGCAGCAATGAGCAGGAGTGTCCATCTCAGACCCAGGGACGGAGCCCGTCGATGTCGATTTCCACCCCGCCGAGCTTGTCTGCGCCCACTCAACGAAGTCAGATGTCGCTGCCGAGTCAGAGGTTGCCTTCTCCGTCGGTTCCGAGTGTGTCCTCGGCTCTGAGTGCCTCGCCATCGACTTCTCTGATGTCATTGCAGTTCCTTTCTGCCCGTGATCGCCCCGACCCTCTGTGCGCTTCGTGTCCATCGCCCTGTCATCTCTCCTGCGTTTCATTTACCGCTCCCTCTTCGATTGCTGATCGTTCTCATTATGTGTTCGACCTCTCTGGGGCTTGCAGAGTCTCCGTGGATCACGCCATGGCAGAGTCTCTTGGCCACATTTCTCGCCCTCCTCTTTCTCCCTGTCCTCGGGTGAGCCTCCCTGGTGCTGCTGCTGCTGACCCTCCCGACTCTCTCTCCCTCGCGCCGCCTGCGTCCTCGGCGGCTGCGCCCCCGCTGCGGCCCGGGCGCGGCAATGGCCGCCTGCCCCAGCGCCTGCCTCGGCGATAGGCAGGCAGGACAGACCTCTCTTACGCTGGTCTCCTCCTCCTCCTTCTCCTCCTCCTCCTCCTCTTCCTCCTCCTCCTCTTCCTCCTCCTCCTCCTGCTCCTCCCACGCCAGTCGGCCTAGGCGGCACCGTAGGCAGATCATTGCGTTAGCATTTTCCCTGTTACAACCCCCACTGCAGAGGCATACGTTTTTAGCTGTCTAGTCAGTTTGGTACTCGTGCCTCCGATGAGCATTTTACTACCTAGCCTGACCCATTGCATATCCCTTTTTGCCGAACATGTCCCTCGATTATGTTCCTCACTATCCTCCTTCTCCTCCTCCTCCTCCTCCTCCTCCTCCTCCTCCTGCTGCTGCTGCTGCTGCTGCTGGTGCTGCTGCTGCACCACTGAAGGGGAGAGTCCCGAAGCGTCCACAATGTGAATTGGCAAAAAGGCGACGAGAGACCCAGGACACTCCAGAGACCCCACACGCAGGACAGGTCCCAAGCCAACGCACCCACCCAAGAGGAGAGACGCAAGGAAGGAAGAAAGCAAGAGCGGGAGAGCAGAAGGCCGCGGGGGGGGTGCGCAGGCCCAGGATCCGCAGAACCCCAGACAGCACCCCCTCGGGCGAGACCCCATGACAGCCAGCAGTTCGAGCCGCGCCCAGCTGCAACGCCCGCACGGCCCCTGCCGCCACTCACAAGGCACCTCCACGCCAGCCGAGCCTCCGCCGCACGGCTCAACCGTCCATGCACTCACCATCTCGGCCGCCATGTCATTCAGGGGGGGCGCCAGGCGACGTGCACCTTCCATGTGCCCGCCTCGTGGATGCAGCTGGTGAAGCCGAGGACCCTAACCTTCTTGATGAAATTCGGCAGCTTTGCCCGCAGCACGTCCGCGGAAGGGGTCGGCATCCCATCTGGGAAAGGCGCAGCCGGTCGATGCACTGCGTAGCACCAGGACTCCGCATTGACGCCCTTGCCCCAGGAAGTCACACAGTACGTGGAGTTCGTGACGGCGCGCCGCGGGAATGCCTGGCCTGCCGGGGCAGGACCTCGAGAGACACCGCCGCCTCGCACCTCTGCTGCTCTGCCTCCTGGACGCAGCACTGCTTGAAGAGCTCGATGGCTTGGTCCAGGAGCTTGGACTCGTGGCGCTCCCAGCGCTGCGCCAAGCCCATCTTCACGGAGCACGCCTCCTGCTGAGCCTTCGTGAGCACTTGCTCGATGACCGCATCAGCCCTTGGGACGTCGGCGCAGACCGGCTCGGCGTGGATTCCCTCATCCGCCGACGGCTCGGACGATGGTGCACGAGAAGGGCGAGGGGTCCACAGCTGTCCACGGCCGGTTCGCGCGCCCGCGCTCCCATGCCGCACTTCGCCCGAATATGTCTTTCGGCCGATCGCACTGGCGGCCTCGGCACCTGGACCGAGATTCTTACCAGCACTTGGAACTGCCGCTGCCGAAGAGCCACCTGCAATCGAGGATTCGGCACGACCACCAGCACCAGGACGATCAAGCCGGACTACATCCTCGGCTGCACGGCCAGCGACCTCCCGGATATCAGCTGCACCAGGAGGCTCGGCGTGCCTATCGCACTGTCGAAGCCCATCGTCCTCGCTTCCGAGCTGCGCTGCCGACCGCAAGCCCGTTTGCAAGCCATCGCCGAATGCGCTCGCGAGGACCTCGACGGGCGGTAGCCAGACACCTGGGGCCGGGCCGACATCGCCCAGCACTCGGCACACGGGCGCACACGCCATTGGCACCGCCTCCACGAAGCCGTTCAAGCTTGCTTCCACATGCGAACCCATGCTCACGCACTGTTTGTCATCCTGGCCGACCTTCGAAGCCCACTCCTGGGCCTCTAGGCGTGGGCCCGCTGCCGCCGCGGCAATCTCGGCGTCGGCGGCCCGCTCGCAACCCCGCGGCGGAAGGTCGGCCGCGTGGAGCGCCGCGTTGCGGCGCCTGCGGGAGCGTCCCGCAGCCCGCTGGCCCACGGCCGCGCGCCGCAGGGCTGGTCGGGCGGCACGCTCCCGATCCTGCCAGGAGCCAGGCAGGCATGCGCAACGCCTCCAAGGCCGCCAGCCGCCTGCCGCGGGCCGCGCGGCGAGCCGCCGTGGGCCCCAGGGCGCAGACCTCGGTCCTGCGCAGCGCCTCGGGCCGCCACGTCATTGGCAGCCCCCGCCCTCTCCTCCTCAAGGGAAGCCT